AATAAAAAAAAAATGACGTTTTAACTCTTATCTAATTAGTCATTTTTATTTCTTAGGCAGCAAATGCATCAGAAGTATGGTTTATAACTAATGGTATTGATGCTGGTGTTCCACAACTAATTGGAACAGCTTTTAGAGAAGAAATTGTATGAAAATTATAAGAAAAAAAGAAATTTCATTATTTCTATTGAATTTCATTAGGCATTACGACGAGCTGATGATGCATGGGCTATACAAATGGGTCGTCCACCTAAAAAACGTAAAACACTTGTTTTAATTGGAATTGTGTGTGATGATGAAATAAAAGATATTATTGATCTTAAAACAACAAAAGATAAATTTAAAATGGTAAAAAAACGAATCGGGAGATTTTATTTTATTCGAATATTTTCTTTCTTCCTAGGAAGTTAAAGTTCCAGCACGTAAACGTGATCAATTATCATTAAATAGTGATCATACACATTTTATTATTATTCGTGAAAATCCAATTGGTTTAAGTTCAACTAATAATCCTGCAAGAAAATCTATTTTAGTTGATAGTGGAGAAAAACAATTAGAAAAATTAACTGATTCAGCTGAAAGTGCAACAAATAAATTTCGAGATAGATTCGAAGATTTTTTACATCAAGAAACATTACAACAATCTACAAATGATCAACCATCAATAGGTAATAAATACTTATCATTGCCTAGCAACTTTTTTCTATTGATATATAATCTCGTTTCATTTTTCATTCTTTATTATATCATAACTTGACATCGTATTGTGATTTCCCATAAGTATTAAGAATAGATATCTAGTTAGAGTTCAAATCAATCTATATTTAGAACTCATCGACTGTAATATAAGATAAACATTGCTAATAGCATAAACCTGCTCGATAGAAGTGTGCTTGACGAATATTATTATAAATAACTCTTGATTAAATGTATAGTATAGTATAGAAAACGTTTTGCTACTATTTTCTCTAGTTTTCGATTGGATGTTGTAATGTTGTTTTAAAGAAAAATTAATCTTGAAAAACTGTTATCTTAATAATCTACTAGAAGGACTTTATCGATATCAATGTTTTATTAACAACTAATTCTTAAATAACATATCAAATATATTTAAAGTACAGCTCCGTGCTATATAAGTTCGTAATGTATAATCATTATAATAAGGTTCATTTATCAGAAGCCATTAATTTCCTAAAAAATAGTCAATGAAGCATAAGCGTACATAATTCATGTTTACATATTAATTATCAAAACTATATGAAAACGTACTTTTCTTTACCCTGATTAATCATCAAAAGTATGTGAAGGTTATAGCACTGAAAATACTCATTTTATGGATTCTAAGGAGTATTTGTATGATATTTATCATGATCAGACATAGTTGTAATAGAGCATACTTACACCATAATGATCAAGATTCTAGATTGATTAGTGACCGGACAAAACGTCACAGGCGTATGACTCGGTGAGGGTGACCATAGCTTAAAAAAATACAGGTATATCGGAACGAAATGCTGAACAGTCTGTAAAATATTTTCAAGAAATCGGGCGACGGTATGACTGTGGATGTGTACTATGAGAGAAGAATGACATATACACTCACATCCACACCCACTCTCAATCTATATCCGTAAATGTTATTTCAATTGAATAATTTCTCCAAAAATCTGATATTTCGTTTTTCTTTCTTTAATATTTATTTATGATCAATACTCTCAGGGTATTTTTTTCAAGTATACTTGGCTGTACTTAAATTTTCTGGCATAAATTTTTCTTTAAATATCATTCAATTTTTTATTAGATATATTATCAACGTCACCATTAATATCTCGAAAAAGTAATCCATGGAGTGAAGATGGTTTTCCAATGGTATGTACATTAGTTCGTGGTACACCGGGAACGATTGAACTTTTATATCAAAAAATTCAACAAGAAGTTCCTGCTGTTATTCTTAAAGGAACTGGATCTGCTGCTGATATAATTGCCTTTGCTTACGAAGAAATAAGTGCTAAGTAAATTCAAATAAGAAATACAAACACTTTTCATTTATTTTGTTCTTATTTATATTTAGAAATGATAAAGAATATGAAGATAGTTATTTGAAAGTTGAATTATCCCGACGTTTACTTGATGAATATCCTGCATTAAAAGATAATAATGTAAAACGAAATGAAATTCGTGATCATATTATAGCAATTGTTAAAAAAGCTGATCAAGGAAAACGAAAATTTTTAACATTTGTTGATGTTAATAGTACAACAGCATCATTAAATGATTTTCATAAGTTTATTCTTTCCGCTCTTTTACAATGTACGGATAAAAAAAGTATTTTCATTTTGCAATTTCATTTCTTCTATTTTTAGCACAAAAAACTGTAACAGGAAATAAAGTTAATGTACAATTAAAACGAAATCTTTTATTAACACTCGATTGGAATTTACCAGATTTAGCTTTATCCGAGATATTTCAACGTGATGATGATATGAAACATTCAATACAAGCAGATTTATTTGATAAAGCTGTACTTGGAAAAAAACTTGAACCATTTGTTGATTTATTTCTTGATAGAGAATTTGCATTGCATCGATATTTAAAATCAGATAAGCTAGTTGCGTTATTTAATCTAGCAAAAGATCGTGAATTTTTAACAACAACATCACTCGAAGGAATTCTTGGTTTAAGTGGAGTAAGAACCAAGAAAAAGATTTCTTTTAGATTTTAAATCGAATTTATTTTTTAGGATGAAGATGAAATGCCAAAAGATTTTGTTGAACATGGTCTTAATATAATTGTTAAACGTTTAACGGGTATTAGTCATTTTTTTAGTAAACATGAAATGGATTGTAATGCAATGGGAATTTATTTTGGTGATAAAACAGATAAAGGTGTTCAACGACAAAGAATACGAGCAGAAAAAAAGGTCAAATATTCTGACATTCAAAAAAAAATTCTCATTTTATTTTAAACAGGCTCTTCGACATTTAATTATTTATGCTGTACTAATGAATCGACCTCAATTAGCTAAAATTCTTTGGAAGCGTTCATCAGAACCAATTCCATTAGCATTAATATGTTGTATGATGTTTAAAAAATTAGCACCTTATTGTCATGAATCATATCAAAGATTATTAATTGAAAAACAAGCAAAGTAAAAATTAAGAAAAATTCTTTTCTTTTTTAATTAATTATTTTAAAAATAGAGAATTTTCTGATTGTGCTGTTGGTGTTCTTGATAAAGCGTTCAATGAAGATAATATGAGAACATTTGAAATGCTTGATGAGAAACATCCAGTAACGATTATTTTTCTGATTTAAATAAAGATTCAATAAAAATATTAATTTAGGATTGGAATCATATGGCAACAGTTGAATTAGCTTATAATGCAGAAAATAAAGAATTTATGGCACATGCTGCATGTCAAAAATGGGTTACTAGACAATTTTATGGTGAAATTACTCCAAGAGAATTATCATGGGGATTATTTAAATGTCCAGATTATCTTAAAGTCAATTGAAAACGAATTTCTTATGATTTAATTTTTCCTTATTTTAATAGATCATTTGTAGTGCTATTCTTATATTTCCAATGTGGTTTTGGATAAATTTTTCTCCTATCGGTCAAGCACCAGCACCGCCACAAAGAAAACCACCTGATACACAAGACGGAAAAAGTATAAGTACACAACCTGAAAAATCACTTGATGGTTTGTTTGTTTCTATTAAGTAATTTTTTGCATATGTACGAATCATTTTATATATATAGAAGGAAAAAAATTAAGTGAATTCGTTGGTGAAGGAAGCGTTCGTAGAGCAAGCGTTCGTGAAAGAGTAAGTTGATTCATTTCTACTTAATCTTCATCCATATGTATATCTATTATAGCCAAGTATATTTCGACGATTGAGATCTTCCATACGCAATCCATTTAAAAAAAAACAGAAGAGTGAACTTAATCTATCAATACCCAAAGAAAAACCAATGAGCCATTGGGAAGAAATTCGAGTTTTATGGACAGCACCAATAACAAAATTTTATACAAATTTTGTTGCTTATATTGCTTTTCTATCATTTTTCACATTGGCGGTTATGTGGCCAACATGTGGAAATTTATTACTTGATTGTTTTGTTTGGTTTTGGACAGCATCAATTGCGTTTGAAAATACACGTGTTGCTTATGAAAAATATTGTGTAAGATTTCGAGTTTTTTTTAATTTTTATTAGGAAAATATTTGATAAAAATATATTTAGTCACAAAGTAGTTTACCATTACAACGTGCAGTATTAGAAGTTATTGTACAAACAATATTTCTTTCACTTTATCTTAGTGTTCGAATTATTGGTTTATGGAATTTTGGAAGTATATATATTTAAGAATTTTCATATAAGAATAAATCTAAATTGATTATTTATATTTTTAGCTTGTCAAGTTTTAACGGCTAAAGCTATATTAGGCATTGGACTGATTTATTATTATTATCGAATATTATTTATTTTCTTACCAATTAGTCCTAAACTTGGGCCGATGATGATTCGTCTTCGTTGTATGGTAAATTTACCAATATTCTTCTTAATACTTTGAATAAACGAAATAATTTTAGATTATGGATGATTTTTTTACATTTTTACAATTATTTGTTATATTTATGATATCATCTGGTGTTGCTATAACTGCAGTACTCTATCCCCATTATCCATTGGGGATAGATTTATTTACAAAAGCTTTTGTATTTCGTGGTTTAATGGCATTATTTAGTAGTGAAATGTCTGACTTAAAAAATCAACATCAACCATGTTCAATCAATGCAACCAGTCAAACAGAAACTGAATACGCTTGTCTTCGTTTATCACATGGATTATCATTTAAATGTAAGAATAATAATTTATTAAATTTAATTCAAATTTTTTTTTATTTAAGATGATAATCTTCATGCATATAATAAATATGGAATATCATCACCACGATGTAATCAAACATCATGGATAGCATGGTTTTTACTTATACAATATTTCTTTTTGGCTAAACGTTTTTTAACATCATTGTTAACAGCTATGTTTGGGTTAGTTAAATTAAGACACAAATAAATAAATAAATAAACGATAACTAATTCATTGATTTCTTTTAGTTTAACAGGAGCAAGAGTACAAAGTCAATCGGAACAAATTTGGATGTATAATCGATATGAAATTGTTATGGAATATGCCAAACGACCTCGACTACCACCGCCATTTGTTGTTATTTCTTATATCGGTTAGTTTTGTAGTTTAATATACAAATTTATCTTTAGAATTAATAATGATAGATTTGAACTGAATTTGATTAAGGAAATATTTTTCAACTAGATTTAAGAAGTCAATATACTTAGCATTTGCAAATTACTTCTAACGTTTCGTAATAAATGATTTCTACTTCGCTCTAAAACATTAATCTTGAAATTGATTCTCCTTGTGACTACTGTCTTCGGACATTCTTTATTATTCGAGATAAGTTCTATTAATCAATGAACTGTAATCCGATATTTTTATATTATAGGAATGTTAATATCAAATGGTAGTCGGCAATGTGTCCTTAGATTACAAGACTTTTCAGATAGAAAACGACGTGGATCCCAACAAAGTGGAAAAGCTTTACCAGCAATAAGCAGTGTTAATCTAGGAGAGGATCTAAGTAATCCTGCATTAAAGATTAATGTTGACTTTAGTCCAAATCAATCAATAAGAACAACAGCTCCAGATCGTACATTCCTTGGAAGTTTACTCAATTGTAAACCATGTAAAAAAGTTACAGATAAACATAAAGCAAAAATTGTATGTTATTCGATTTCAGTTGAACAAAGAAAACAAATTTTTGTTTTTAGGAAGAAGCAAAACGTAGTTGGGAAGATAGCGAAGCAAATCTTTATTGGAAATATAAAGCTGTTGAATTCTATGCTAAAACTCAAGAAGCTGATAAAGTACAAGAAAAACTTGATAATTTATCGAATTGGTAAAAGAAATTTTTCGATTATTCTTTTTATTTACATATATATATAATTCTAGTGTAACAAATGTACAAAAAGATATGGATGTACAACGAAAATCATTAAGACAAATCAATGATCGTGTTGTTACATTAGAAAAAATAATGATTGATTCACATATATTACTTGAAAAAATTCGTGCAACTATTCAACAAGACGATAAATCATTACCTGAAAGTCAAAAATTTGTACACATCTTATCACGAGAATCACCATATATTTGTACAAATGAACCACGATTTCCTGTTACAGAAAAATATATTCCTTGGAAGGTAAAATACAAAATAAAATTTACATATATAAAGATCTATTCATTTAGGTTCCATTTGATTTATATGATCCAACTATAATAACATTACCAAAAGAACATAATTGCTTTCGTGATGATGAACGACCATTTGTTGAACCAAATGTGTAAGTTTTTTTTGATTCGAATGAATAAAAAAACAAAATTTATTTTAGATTGAAAGTAAATTCAAATGATGATCAACCTCAACATGAAGTTGATACATATGTTACACCAATAACTCCGACATGTCAACCAGGAACATTCGGAGCTATTGAAACAACAATGGCAGAAGTATCAAGTGATTTTATAGTTCCACCATCGGGATATAAATGGAATCAAATTGTTGAATTACAGTTACCTGACGGAAAAAAGGTTAATTTGAAGAGAGAGAGAAAAATGGATATAAATTTGATTTTTTTAAGATGATTGTTGATCGTACAACTTGGGTAACAAATCCTGCAGACAAAACACCCACTATCTATCGATTAGATACTCAATTATTAATACCATTGTAAATCATTTAAAATTTCGTTTTTCTTTCTATTAATTGTTATATAATTGCAGGAGTCCAATGGGTCGTACAGGTGTTCGTGGACGGGGTGCATTGATTCGTTGGGGTCCAAATAAATCTATAATGGCAATAATAACTCGATGGAAAAAGCATCGAGGACAATTTGCTATTGTTGATGGACAACGAATATTAGAAGCAATGGTATTTAAAGATAAATTAACGAATGATTGGAAATTACCAGGAGTATGAATAAATAAAAAATCGATTTTATTTCTTTTTTTTATCAACAAATATTTATTATTTAGGGAAAAATTCTAGGCGTTGAATCGCCATATGGAGCTGTTTGTCGTAGTTTTAATAAACTTGCTTTTCAAGATGATGATTCCGAACATAGTTTATCTCTTCAAGAAAAAGATATGATCGAAGTAATTATTAAGATATAATCATATATATCTATATAAATAAAATCGATTTTTATAGCATTTCGAATCATTTGCTCGTTCAACAGACGGTACAAATGGACCAACTAATTTCGAAGCTCATATGGTTTATCGAGGTAAATTTTATTCGGTAATTTAATCATTAATTTTTGTTTTTTTTTTATACAAAATTTAGGATATATTGATGATTTACGAAATACAGATAATGCTTGGGTAGAAGCAGAGATATGGAATTTTCATTATGGCTCAACAATGTCATTTCCAAATTTACGCACAGATGTATGTCAACAATGATAACTTTGTCTTAAAAAATTAATAATTTTTGTTTTCTCTTTTTCAGGGTATGGCTTTTTGGAAAGATGTTACATATAATTCTCGAGGTTTTCTTATGCAAACACCAATATTACGTGAAACAGCTCGAATCCATGATGCTTATTTTGAGTGAATTATAATAAATCGTAATGTGATAATTTCAATGTTATTCATATATGCTCCTATTGATGATCTGTTCCTTTTTTTTTGTTTGTTTGTTCTTTTTTATTTATGTTTGTATATATAATATTACTGTGTTTTTGATCTCTAATGAATTAATATTTTTTTTCTGGAGCTCATTTATTTAGAGCGTAAGTAGAAATTAATCATTCTAGTGACTTTTGATATTTAATATTAATAATTCATAGTTATTGTGATTTAATTGTTTGAAAGAAATTAAATAGAGAGAATAAGTGTTAAATGAATTGAAGATATTATCGAGTATTTATCAGATAAATGATTAAGAAGAAATATAACGAATCACCAGGAGTGGCGCGAGTCAACCGATATTGGAAGAGAGGGGTGTAGCATTATGTTTGGTGAAAGCCTAAGAAAATTTGCCGATTTTGTTGAGCAAAAAATAGAAATTTTTGAAGATTGGGGGGTGTTACACCCCCACCACCCCTGCGAATCACTTATGCAATCAAGCATTGTTATCTATAAGTAATCAGTAGACAGATTTTTATCAAAATTATCCTCTTGATAAACTTCTTGAGCAAAGAATTTTATCAACTAGCGACACTCTTTTTATTTCCTATTGATTGGCTAATATGGGAACCAAGTAAAGATGATTGCAAGAGTAATAACTGATGTTTTTCTCTTAATGAATAATAATAAAAACATAATCATCGTTTGAGTAATAATATAGAGTGTAAATTAAGAGCTTTTTCATAGAGATCAGCAATTAAATTTGGATATGTTTGTCGAAATGTTGTCCAATCCGCTGTACCTGTTGTTTCAGAAAATATTTGTGCTAAATTATTATTAATATATTTTAATGCTGAGTCTTTTAATCGTGTCGCTGTATGTTGATCGGCAAGTATTAATAATCGAAGACAATTATCTTTATTTAAAATAAAATAATCTTCAGCTAAGTTTTTTAAACTTTCAACATTATATTTATCAGCTAATTCAAGTATATCTTCAGCTTTTTTATCATCAGTAAATATACATGTGTCGGAATAGAGATATTGAAGAAATAAATCAATAGATGATGAATTATAATTATTTAAAATAAGTATGGATGAAGTCATTTCAGTTGTATCTTTTTGTTGAAACATAGTAAGAAAAACATTTGATCGAGCAGCAAGTATAGATCGATGAACAGGATATATACATTCACCAACTTGTATTATAAAATCCGAAAAATATGATTGAGATTTTAATGTAAGTAAATCACGATTAAGTGATGAACGTGTAAGTACTATTTGACTGCAAGTACATCCTGATTGACGACAATTAGGACGACGACATGATTTACATGATGTAGATAATGACATTAATAGAAAAGGAAAAATTAAAATTCAAAGTTTTTATTACTTTAAATCACCATGACAGCAAAGAGATTTTATTTTTCATAATTATTCGCACTTTATGTATCGTTTTACTTATTATATACTTCTCTGATTTCTATAAAACGCTCGACTGAGTCCGTATGTCTTATAATAGAAAGACTAACACTAAATCAATGATTTTTTTCTATTTATTTTTATTCTAATAATATATAAAACAAATTGTATGTCATATGAAACTAACAAAAAAGAAATAGAATTACAAAGACTTTTCTGTTTCCTTCTTTCTTGTTTCTTATCAGTGACGTCGATAATTGCGTAGGCCGGTCATAGCATAACATCAAGTGAAAATAGCTGACGAACTTGAACAAATAATAACAGACGTTAGTTCCAGAAGAAGAAAAAGAAAAAAAAAAAGGATAGAAGATTTTTTTTCTTTTTCTTCTCTCGTTCGAAGATCGTCGTCGATTCTTTTTTTTCTTCTGTTAATGTTGTTGTTATTTTCTTTACAGAAACATTTCTTACTAACAGTTATTATATATTTTTCCTTTTAGATAACAATGGTTTCGATATCTCTTTATGTTATCCTTCTCTCCTCCCTTATCGTACTTAGTACTGGACAAGAAAAAAATGGCAAACATCATAGTACAGAAGAAGTATTTGATATACTTGATCGTATTCATGATAAATGTCCCGATATAACACATATCTATGATTTACCATTGAAATCAATTGAAAAACGTCCATTACGTGTTATAATATTCTCGGATAATCCAAAACATCATGAAGAACTTGAACCTGAATTTAAATATGTTGGAAATATGCATGGAAATGAAGTTGTCGGCCGAGAATTATTATTAAACTTAGCTGAATATCTTTGTGACGAATATAAAAATGGCAATGAACAAATTCAAAAATTAGTCGATAATACTCGTATACATCTTATGCCAGCAATGAATCCTGGTAAGATTATATTAATAATGATTAGTTTTTATGAGTAAAAAAACATTTTATGTTTATAGATGGTTGGGAGATTGCTGTAAAAAATGCATGGAATTCAACAAAACCAAATCAATTTAAAGATATTGAAACAATGTTATACGAACAAGGTGCACTTGACTGGCAAGTTGGCCGACCTAATGCCAATGGAGTTGATCTAAATCGAAATTTTCCTAATTTGGATGAATTTATCTACGCATATAACCATCAAGCAAACCATCGAAATAATCATCTTGATCTTGAAACATTCGTTTCATTAACAACAGGAACTGATTGTCATGATCAAGCTGTAAGATATTTAATTTCATCGAATTAATTTTTAATCTATATATCTATAGTATCAACCTGAAACAGTTACAGTTGCTTTCTGGATAATGCAAAATCCATTTGTTTTATCAGCTAATTTACATAATGGTGATCTTGTTGCTAATTATCCATATGATGATTCAGCAAATCATCTTCAAATGTATTCACCATCACCTGATGATTCATTATTTCAGTAAAATATCTTATTAACTTCTTTTTTTTATATTTCGAATTTTTTTTCCATTTTAGACAATTAGCTGAATCGTATTCTCATACACATTTAAAAATGCAATCACCAAAAAAACCATGCTCAACAGATGTTTTCCCAGAAGGAATTACTAATGGTGCAGCTTGGTAAATAATATTTTTTTGAAAAATATTTATTTATAAAATAATTTTTCTTTATGTCCATCGTAGGTATCCAGTTTGTGGTGGAATGCAAGATTTTAATTATTTAGCTAGTAATTGTTTTGAATTAACATTAGAACTTGGTTGTCAAAAATTTCCACCTGGTAAAAATTTACCAAGTTTATGGGACGATAATAAAGATGCACTTCTCAATTTCATGTGGCAGGTATATCGAATAATAAATTTATTTATCTTATTAGTCTTACAACAAAACATTTTTTAGACTCATGTTGGTATTAAAGGTTATATTGTCGATGAAGATGAACAACCAATTCATAATGCAAGTATTAAAGCTTATCAATTAGTCAATGATAACTGGAAATATATTGATCATGATATAACATCAAGTAAATATAAGAGAAAGATTTTTTGAATAGATTTAATATTTGTTTTTTCCATTTTAGATCCAAAAGGTGATTATTATCGTTTACTTACAGATGGTTCATATGCTATTCAAGTCAAAAAACCAGGTTATGAAAGTCAAACAAAATATATTAAAGTTCATAATAAAGAACATCAAACAAATGCACAACAAGTTGATTTTACTCTTGAATTATTATCGGCCGAACGTCAAGATCTTCAACGAATGCTTAAACATTACATGAATGATAAAGTAATAATTTTTGCTTATTTATTTTCATCTTCTATATAAATTTTAATTTAGTATTAAATAATCAAAAAAAAACTGAATCTCAAAAACAATATCTTTATCTCACTCTATATATATATTTTTATGATCTCGCATTCCTGAACTGAATTATTTACAAGTGAACAAAATTTCCTCGAGAAATAAATCTGATCTCCGTTTTAAAATATTTTATTTTTGATCTTTTTATGTGCAACATCATACCATCATATACATCATTGTTTTGTGCAATAAAATATAAATAAAACAAACATGATTGAAATGTAAACATGAATATATTTGTTAAATATATAAACTGAAGAGAAGATCATTCTATATTTATAAATAACGCTGCCCGGAAGACTCGCTCAGCTCTTTCTCGTAGAAACAGTGTGTCTATACGACTAGTAAACTAGTTAATCAACCAATTTCAGATTTGAGTTCCTCGACTCCGATTATCCTTCGGTTAACTCTTACAAAAA